TCGTGCAGGGGCAAGCAAGGGACGACACTGCAGCCCCAAACGCAGCTGCTCGGCACTCGCCGCGGGGATGATCGTCGGAGGTGCCGGGAGCTCACCTCATGAAGACGGACGAACAAGAGCAGACCGGAATGGCGGAGTCGCCAGAGCATGAATCGGCGGCAGATCCAGAACAGGAGCCAGACCGGCGCCAGCTGCGACACTGGTGGATGAATCGGCATATGCAGCGAAGAGCAGCGCACTGCAGGCCGAAGGACGGCGGACGGTGTGAGTTCTGCAGGCGGACGGAATGTCTGTTGCAGGCCGAAAATGAAGCAATGTGATTGATCCGGAAAAAAAGGAAGCAACGTGATTAGAAGGGACCCATGCGGTGGATGAATGGACGGAGTAAGGGATTGAATCACGGCATGACTCCATGCAAGCATTGATTAGAAGGGGACCACGGACGACCAAGCCAAAGCCACGCGCCGGTGACCATGGTTCGCTGGTGATAGTTTTGGTCTGGCTACAAAATACGGTATTGTGTAGCCAACTATAGACTAATAGTTATATATATATATACACCATGGATCAATGAATAAAAAAGAGTTTCCACTCTCATTTTGTTTCTTGAGTCTCTTGCTTTACATCAAAGCACTCTACACTAAACAGGGTGGACCAGTGAATGAGAAGTGTTGACGCGTCACGGTTTTACGACACAGTAGTGTTCATGTGCAAGCATCCAATGTCTTACAGAGTCATGGTTCTCCTAAATCTTATAGGATAATTTTTATTTTCAGTAACCACTTCTAAAAGTTATTCTATGGTCTCGTAGATTTAATTTGTTGCTTGCGCGTTCCTTGTCTCCGTAGAATACTTCCTCGCTCCAATCCTCTTTCTCCGTCCTGCATGTGCATCCATCCACGCGGCATTTTCCTTCCGGCGTCGAAAGCGACAGCGTCCAGATCCAGACTCCAGCAGGCAGCGGCCTCCTCAATCTCCAGGCTCTGGCCGCTTTTATCAGATCAGATGGGCATGCATGTGCATCTCTGTGCTTGCAGCAGACATTCTCCCATTTCCACCGTCACGCTTTCATTCATTTGTTGACTACAATGACCCATGCTTCTTCCTCTGGTCCCTGTTCCTGATCAAGCTAGCCGGCCTTCCTGCTACTACCGGTACTCCCTACGTCTCTAAGGGCATGTACAACGGACATATAGTTGCTGGCTGTAAATTTTTTTGGATTTACAATATAGACGGCTAAACAGACAGTTCATACAACCCACAAACAGCTGCTGTCTATTTGGCTATCTACAAATCTGGATTCGAGCGCACCCGCAGCAGGAGGATGACCCTGTACAACGGTCCTCTAGTTGGCGATTTGGTCTTGGACCACAAGCCCTTGCCGTCGCCTCACGAGACGACGATGGCACCGTCTCCTTACCATACGAGGGTGTTTTATGCAAAAATTACCGGACACAGACGGCACTTGACGGCCCGTTGTACGTGCCCTAAACATCTGTCACCGTTGATGTATGTGCGGTAAGTTTGACTCGATTTATAAAAAAATACGTGTAATATTTGTATCTCCAAATAAATTTATTTATAAAAAACTAGATTCAAATATCTTTTCAATAATACTAATTATGTACCATAAGTATTAATATATTTTAATATATATTTAGTTAAAGTTGTTTCTCGACGAACAAAAACCATAGATATTTAGGGACCGAGGGCTGTATTTTGATGATGCCATTCACGTAATCATTGATTCATTGGTGCCTTATCTGGAGACCGTCGTAGCATCTTTCCTTGATCTCTTTCCTCCTCGGTCCACCGTCCCGTATCTTGCGCATTTAGACATGCATTATTGCATGGTCATCCGGCTTTATACTGGGCCTACAGGGCTACAGGAAATATCAAATCCAAGTGCGCCATCGTGTCTTGCATGCAAACTCTTTTTTTTTACCGAACATATTTTTTTTTTGAGAATTCTGAGAATTATACCATAGGCAAGTGGGACGTCGCTACTGAATGTAATTATTTGTCATGCCGAGCCGAGCATAAACGTTCCTGGACCTGAATAATGAATGCTCTGCCTGAGGCCACGGCGTACAACGAAATTGTTACCGTGGAAAGGAGCATTCAGATCATCTCATGTGGATCAGTGGATGTGCCGATGTGGTACACACGAGCTCACAGCTAGAGCTAGTCGCTCGCCTATCCTTTCGGGTCAATGCAGCATGGGCCAGAGAGATTGAGTGGCCAACACATGGTGTCGTGTCCCTGCGCCTGCGCCTTCAGAGAAGAGAGTCCACTCCACGCCCATGCTCGATGGCAACTGGAAAAACAGAGACCGTGTGTCGTACTGGTATGCGTCACCGTCACTTGGATGGAGGTCCTACTAGATGACTCGGAGAATCTTTGCCGGCCGTCCGTTGATTCGCCCGTCGTCGTGACTCGTGAGCAGAGCACGAGAATGTGGGCCTGTGGGCCGGGGCTGACAATGTCACGCGATGACGCGTCAGGATTATCCCCCCCGCCAGCGATGAAAAATGCAGAGGACGTACTACTACAGTACTACGGCAATGATATGAAGTTGCCATGTACCGGATACGAGGCGAGGGTGCGGCAACGGCCCATCTACGAAGGACAAGATCAACGGCCCATCTACGGAAGACTAGAGCGACAACTTCAGAAACCTTATAGAAGAACACATGAACGAAGTTGTCTTCTAACTCTTGTCTTGAAATTTTTCCTCGCTGCTCCTGTTCCCAATCCCTAGTTCCTCCTAAAAAATCCGTATTCAATTCCTCTATAATTACTTGAGATAGTGTCCCCTAAACCTTCAATTGGTTATGTATTCCTAAGGGCGCGTTTAGTCCACGAAAATTTTTGGGTTTGGCTACTGTAGCACTTTCGTTTGTATTAGGCAATTAGTGTCTAATTATAGACTAATTAAGTTCGAAAGTTTCGTCTCGCGATTTTCTCACCCAACTGTGCAATTAGTTTTTTTCATCTATATTTAATATTCCATGCATGTACAGCAAAATTCGATGTGACACTTTGAGGTAAAAATTTTGAGAACTAAACATGGCATAAGTTGGTGGTCTATGAACATACCAGAAGCTCATGACATGGTCTCCACGGCCTCATAGCCCCCTGGAACAAAGGTAATGACGTACGAGGCAATCTCTCAAAATAAAAGAAACCAATCACAAGAAATAAATAAAAACAGAAAGAACACGGAAAATGAAGAAAAAGATAGAAAGAAACCAGCGTCATGGTGAAGAGAAAATGTTAGAAATTAACCTCCACGACAACAAGCTATCTACTGATCTCCATACGCGGAAGCGTCGATCAGATCTATCGAGACCAACATGCAAGATCGTAGACAAAGCCTACTCCTCCCTATGTCCACTTGACGGAAGATCGGGAACCCGTCCCCATCAACCAGCAACACTAGACGCTTCAAGGTCTCAGCAACGTGCCAGTGCCCTTCCACGAACCTGTCGCTATATCGTCATGGTTACAACAACCATCCTCTTATATTTATGAGGAGACCGGGTTACAGAGTTTGACTCTAACTCTATCTTATATTGCCAAATACAACCCAAAGTCCTAGCATAACCAAACTTAGTGCATAATATTCGGCACATATCTAATAGAGAAAGAGACTAATGGCTAATGATAACCAATGTCTAGATGGGGAGGGGGATGAATAGATTAAACCTAAAAAAATAAACTCAAATCACTAGATCAATAATCGCAGAAGTTCCATAGTTTTTTTTTTGAACTTCAAACACTTAGCCACTTAGGGGGGAGGAGGTGGGTCAGTTAGGATAGATAAATTTGAAAAAAATATATGTTCAATTCAAAGTTGTGGATCAATAGAGCCGTGGAAGTTTTGTAGATTTATTTAGAAGTGCGGGAGTTATGCAGAAAATTTTGTAAGTTCTGCAGTTCAGCATCAACTCGAAATCACCAAGTAAATGGTCTAGAAAAACAAATTTCACTTCTTTAGATGGAGTAGAGCTATTCCTTGCAGCTTGAACTCCACACGCGAGCAAATCAAGTTGCAACCCTAAAGTCAACGCAAAAGTGGGTATCCCAACAAATAACTACAACAATAAGTGCAACCGACATAATGATTTAACTCGAGATTTGACAACATAATCAAGGTATGCCGGCGCTCATGTTGTCGAGGAGGACACAAAGGTCTTAAGTCTCTTCCAACGATATATTCTCTTTTCAAGCGACCATAAAGATCAAAGCTTGAGGTTTCTCCTAGATGAATCGAGCAAATACAAACCGTACCTCACCACAAGATATTGGAGCTTCACAAGCGACGTCCAGCAGTCTAAAACCTAAGTTGAAACTAAAAGCCAAACAACATGCTTTTCTTCAACTTTTTCTTACCGCGCCTTTTCCATCTATTTTAGCCTTGTTTTGGTATAGCTTCACTGAAAAAGCTAAATAAAAAAAACATAGTTAAAATAAGCTGGTATGACCCAATTTCTATGCGGTTTAGTAATAGGACTGTGGGGAGAAGCATCACCAGAAAAAAGCTAAAAAACATGTTGTTTGACTTCTAATTTTAGTTTATTTTAGCAATAAACACATTATAAGGTGTACCAAACAGACCTTCTGTGCTATAAAACCTAAAAATTGGGTTAAATCATCTGACCATATTTTTCTCAGTTGATACAACTTCTCACAGAAGAACTTTGCATTTGCATAAAAGCTGTAACAAAACAGGGCCATTAGTTTGAGATGGAAATAACTTTTTTTCCATGAGCGTTTGATACCCGAGAAGCCTGCCTCCCCAGCTCCCCGATATGATAACTGTCGTCGTCCGGCTCAAAGCCGCCACAGCCTCGCCTTCGATTCTCTCCCCTCCCCTTCGTCCTCACCAGCGACGAACCCCTCCTGCTGCTGCTGCTGCTGCTGTCCGCGCCGGAGCCCTCCTCTGCTCCGACCACGCTAATCCCCGACCCCGAGGCAGACGCAGGCCAGCCCCCGCGATGGCACAGACCAACGACAACGACGCCTTCAGCCCCCGTAAGACCCCTGCGCGCTACGCCATCGATTGACCGCACCGCACCTCCTGCTTCCATGTTTTTGGGTCCGCCCCTGTAATTTAACTGGTTCGTGTCCTTCCGGGATCAGTATGCTTGTACTTGGTAATTGCAGACTGTTGTTGTGAAAGTCGCTTGAAAATTACAGTCTTGTTCAGGGTCAGTGGTTAGATCAATGTTTGCTGATGAACCTCAGCACCTGGCTAGTGAGTATTCACCGATCCAATAAACAAAACTCCTAGTACCATGTGCAGAAGAACGTTTACCTTCTATGACGCATGAGCCCAGTGATGCCTTGTGTACCAGCCTCACCCAGCGAGCAAATCTTGCTGGGTTCAGAGTTGGGGCTTCAAGTCGATGTTATTGTTCCATGTGGATGTGCTTAGAACTAAACGGTGTGGGGTATAACTGAATAGTTTTAGAGCCGCTGTAAGGATTCCTTCAAGCTGTAGTGCTATTTTGGCGCAATGTACTGTAAACGAGTATTGACTATTGAGTAGACTCTGTTGAACTGAAGCACATAACCACCTCTGTGCAGCTGTTTCCCAAGAAAGGGTTGTGATAACAAACAAACATGGTGAGAGGCTTGTGGGGCTGCTGCATCACACCGTTTCAAACAAGATTGTGGTCTTGTGCCATGGTTTTATAGCTTCCAAGGTAAATATACCCTGTTGCCTTCAAGATATTTATATATATCCCTTAATTGCAGGCCAAGTAGCCAACTATTACTTTGTATGGGAAATGCCAGGCATTTTAATGTTGTTAAAATAGTTACTGCTGCCTCATGCAACTTATTGCTCATTTCCAGAATGACAGCCTCATTCTTGATCTGGCGGCAGCGTTGACAAAGAAAGGTATCAGTGTCTTCCGCTTCGATTTCAGTGGAAATGGGTAAGCTGCACCACCAGAACTGTGTAGTCACCAGCAATGTTAACCAGGTTATTGAAGCAATTATAGAAAATTTTCTTTATCGTGACATCATCCTGTTTGTTATCTTAAAATCAAACCATTTTCCAAAATTTTGGCTTAGTAGTTATTTCTATTTGATGAGTTGAGGTCCTGCATGCTTGTTATGTCAAGTCTTACATATATAAATTGTTAGATGTCCTTAGCAAATTATCAAAGTATGTACCCGTTGGTTTTTCCTTTATGTGGTCGTTTAAGTTCCTGTTGCTTGATGATATATGATTTTGCAGTACCATTTCTTATAGTACCACATTATGTTTGACATGAATGCACTCATATAAACCTCCCTTGGGTGATCTATTTTTAATTATACACAGAGAAAGCGAAGGCCAGTTCGAGTATGGCAACTACAGGAAGGAGGCTGACGATTTGCATTCTGTTGTATTGTATCTCTATCAAAAAAGTTATGATATAGCAGCGGTTGTTGGTCATAGCAAAGGTTGGTGATGTCTATCCTGTCTTTAGTAGTTTGGTCATGCATCATTTTTGCTGGTGAGTTCCATTGAATTTTCATCAGTAACGTGTTAAAAGAGTTTGTTCAGTTAAACCAGAATTTGCATCGCAAGAAGTAAGAAAATTCTGCTCATGTAGTGACAGTAGTGTACTATTAGAATTATGATAACACAGAAACCTAGTTGTGCCATCTATTTGGGCCTAGTAACTTGTTATGGGTTTGCACTTTTGAAACTCATAAGAAGTTTTGATGTTGGTTTTTACTTTCCATATGCAGCTCTCTTGCGTAGTCGAGAAAAAAATGTGGTTATTACTTTCCTTACGATGTATTGTTGTTCTATTAAATGCATTAAGCATATCTTATCCATTGTATTTAACAATTAATTTTGGTTTAGATTTCCAGTGTTAGCAACTAAGTGAAGCAAATCCACAAGATTCCTTTTGTTGATGGTATTCTAGTTTGCCACACTTTGTGTTTGACCATTATTTCCTGTGACTTCAGTTCCCATATCTTATTGAATTGTAAACATATCACCTTGGAAATTTGACTCAGTGAAACTGCATTTCGTTTTGCAGGAGGAGATGTACTGATTCTATATGCTTCTGTTTACAATGATGTCAGCACAATTGTTAATTTATCAGGCCGATTTGATTTAAAAAAAGGCATTGAAGAACGAATAGGGGAAGGGTCTATCGATAGAATAAATAAAGAAGGCTACCTTGATGTGAAGGACAAATCTGGTATGAATGGGGTTTAGGTAGCTCTTGCTGTGTAATCACTTATTCACTTTCATGTGTGTGTTTTGACCATGTTGGAACCAATGTAGAACATGTCAACTACAGGGTAACCAAAGAAAGTTTGATGGAACGGCTTAATACCGATATGCGTGCGGCAAGTGTTTCCATAAGCAAGGAATGCAGGTATGGAAACTATTTCAGACATTATGACCCTCATGTTTATACTCCAAACTGAAAAAGATGACTTACCTGAGCAGTAGTGTTTCATCTGTGCACACAAGTCCAAATTGTGTTCTCATTAAGTTTCCATTGTGCTAGAATAGCTCGCACATTGTGCATGCTTTCAGACATGCTATTGTCTCTATTCAGGTTCTTAACAGTCCATGGTTCAGCTGACAAGACCATACCTGTAGAAGATGCCCATGAGTTTGCGAATCATATACCCAACCATAAACTGCATGTCATAGAAGGAGCAAATCATAACTACACCGCGCATCGCAAAGAAGTTGCTGATGCAGTAGTAGATTTCATCACGTCCAATGGGGTTTAAGGTATTTATTTAAAATTTATCTTTTTTACTTTTTTGTATGTCCAGATATTCCATATGACATAAGTTTTCTTTTTGTAATGCAGGCTGGGGAGCCCACGTCTCCAAGAGGTGAATGCCCATTCCTGCCCGATTAACACTTGTTCATGCACCTATTCCCATTGGTGTACATGAGCGGTACAGATCTAAATGGGACCCTTCGGGGCAATAATCAACAAAGACTTGCATGGTACTAGGGGTGTGTTATCTTCTGAACCGAAAACCAATGTCATGCAGGTTTGATATGATGTTGCTGGTATGTGCTTTAAGAATTCCTGTAAATATCGAACTCCCGGTAGGACTTGTATGTTGCTGTTGTATAATTGATGAAGTTTCAGCAGACTACTTGTGCTACATGTTCTGGATTGATCATCTCAGTAGATGTTAAACATAGGAGTATATGTATACATTATAATAAATATGCACATGGTTTTTTAGGCATCGCCTAAGCATTAATGCACACCATAAACCGCCACAAGGTTTTAGTTACACGTAATCGCCTAGGTGTCCAGGCATGACCCACAACGCCTCAAAAAACCATGAACGTGCATGGGGTTTTGTCACAGGATTTTTGTTTTGTCAAATACTATGTCTCACCTGGTGGCGGCGTGTTCATGGTTCAGCACAAATGGCTGCTGCTCAGGACACTGCAACATATCAGTGTTAATAGTTCAGAATCACTGAAACTGAACATCTATGTTTGCTAACATTGCATCACAAGCTATTGCGAATAACTTGTGGTAAGACGACACCAGCTGGTTCAACCGGCGCAGATGGAGGCATGGAGCACTTCTTTGTGCCGGATCGGCTTGGTCGCCTGGTTGCCTACTCCAGTGAGGCTCAGCAGTCAGCCTTCTGTGTCACTTGTCGTCTGGCATCATATATGAGTATATGACCCCTTTTGTGTCGTTTCGTAAGAGAGCACGTTATAATTCTATCTCCAAATAAGACTAAACACCAGCCTCACGCCGTGGAGTCCCCTGGCATGCTTGCGGGGGGTGCCTGGGGGCGTGCAGGACTGCAGATCAATCTGTCAACCAGAATTCATTGGTTGTACTGTAAGTAATGGTGAAACACAAATGTCCCTCCATCCCAAAAAGGATGTGGCATAGGATTTTTGTGTTGGTCAAACTTTCATAAATTTGACTAGATTTGTAGAAAATATTAGCAATATTTGTATCTCCAAATAAGTTTAATATAAAAATATATTCAACAATTAATCTAGTGATACTCATTGTGCATCATAAATATTAATAATTTTTATACATATTTGATCAAAGTTGAAAATATTTAATTTCTCCGAGAAGTGAGAATGACAGATGGAGGAGCAAAACCAGGGTCTGTCTATGTCTAATCTAAGCCTTTTATGATATAACGTGAGGTGACTGGAGGTGATGAGATGAGTGGCATGGCAGGCTGGATGAGGACGCCGTTCTGCATCTGCTCTAGGATGTGGTCTCCCCTGCCTGCATAGAAATCAGTCACCGGGATACGAAATCAATTATCATTGCTGAAACACATTCCAAGCAATGAAGGTGAGTTGTTATTTGTCTATATATACCTCACTGGATGTGATGGCGTCTACTACGGCATCAGAAAGTTCTCTACGGTGAGCAGTGTAGCAGTGATTTGCTCCCTCAATGACACGCAGCTTATGGTTTGATATAAGCTTTGCAAACTCGTATGCATCTTCCACGGGTATGATCTCGTCAGCTGAACCATGAATTGTAAAGAACCTGGGCAAAGAGTCCAATAATAGTTTCTGTGAGGAAAGATTCTATTCAACAACACTGATGAACTAGCTAACAGATGTAATATACACACACTATTCTGGGTTGTATGAGTGCACAGAAACAACAAGTTCAACAAGCATGAATATTTTGTGCTGCTATAATTGGCCACTCAGTTGTTAATTTGCATGAAGGAAAATTATGCCTAACTAAGCTGATAACCTGCACTCTTTGCTGATGGAAAGGCTTGCTGCGTGCATATCACTGCCCAGTCGTTCCATCAAGCTCTCTTTGGTTACTCTGTACAAAACCTCTCCTACATTGCAACAGATAAGCAGTTATTAGATGCACATGAAAGATAAATAAATAAACTACAGAGTACAGACAGAAGATATGATGTTCCCATACCTGATTTGTTTGTGACATCAATGTAGCCTTCTTTGTTTATTCTATCCATAAACTCTTTGCCTAGGCGCTCTTCAATGCCTTTCTCCAAATTAAACCGACCAGAAAGGTTAATCACCATGGGGACATCGTTGTAGATAGAGGCATATAGAACCATCACATCTCCACCTGAAGAAAAAGAGATGCAGACTTAATGACCAAATTTCCAAATGGCTAGACAATTGCAGGGTAAATAGCATGAGAAGGATAGCCGGGCGGCTACAGCTCGCTTTCAGTGAGACAAGGATGAACTTCTAATTTGTTTTCTCTTTCTTGCGTTTAAGGATAACAACGCCCCTCTTTGACACTTTTATGAAAGGAATCCATTAACAAACAAAGCATATAACAATATGAAAATTAACCTGATAGATTCCAATTGATTGCATCGCAGTTTCCTATTCTGAATATGACTAACGATGTACATGGTTATGCATTAATGCACAAAAATACAGGAAATATTTATCTATGTTTGACTTGTATGTATTCGTATTGCAAGTTTTGTTCAGAAACTGAACAAACTCTTTTGGACGTTTGGCTTACCCATGACATGAACCCAATGGAACGTCGTGATGGAAAGAATAATGAATTCCATGATTATATCAACCAAACGATGCATATAACCCACCTTTGCTGTGACCAACAATTGCTGCTACATCGTACTTTTCCTGGCGAAGATACAAGACAACAGAGTGCAAGTCAGCGGCCTCCTTCTTGTAGTTGCCATACTGGAATTCACCTTCACTTTCTCTGAAAATATGCAATGAAAATCATCATATCACTGAGACTATGGAGCATGCATGGTAACTAAAAATTATAGTAACAAACTACGAAGTATTGTTAAAAGCTATATATTATGAATTTCTTTTAAAAAAACTACGGATTATGAAGCAAGCAATATAAATTCAAATAATTTGTATGCTACACAGAGAATTCAAACAGAAATAACTGTTTTACAAGTGTTCCACTGTTGATTTATCTGAAAAAATGCAGATCTGAGAGACAAGTGAAGTATCAAACTCAAGTGATAATGTAATATACAGAGTCAGGAAGCTCCATTTAGTCCAAGTGAAGCCTACCTTTTACAGAAGATAAATTTGGAAGCAATGGATGCAATGACTTTATGAAGAAACCGCCTGTGTGGCTACCAGTAGACGTAGCGACTCGATGGGGTTGTTTGGTTGCGTGGTTTTACGAAAAAACAGTTTCCATTAAATCAACTTTTCTGGTAACCACCAAAACCTTGTTTGTTTACGTGAGAGGCAACCGATTTCGAGAAAACTGGGAATAGTGAGTTTCGTGGAAAAAAGGTAAAACACTTAACACCGGATGTACATGGAGAAAATTAGAATTTTACGCTTATGGCAGATAGATTTCGTTCAAATGCCACCCAAGTTGTGGACTTTGACAGAACGCTATATTGCCATTTTTAGGATTTAAGCTAGCTTTTAATATTTTTCATCTCAATTGTTAACATGTTCCGACGATTTTTTACCCGTGTTCATTTACATCCCCTCAATCTCTCTCTTCTCTGTCACGAACTCTCCTCTCTCTCAATCCGACGTCGCCACTGCCCTAGTGTCGCGCCTCCCTTAGGCCGAGCCTTGCCACCGCCGCGACATGAAGTTGCGCCACTGTCAACCGAATCCGTAGCGCTGGACCAAGCTTAGCTCTCCATCAAGCATGAATGAAATTAATGTTTCAACAAAAGTAATGTGTTGCTTGTATGTGGTTTGAAAAATTAGCAGGGGTGTGGAAAAAATCAGCACGAGTTGCTTGTATTGATAGTATTTCACATCTCAATTCATAGATATGGCTGGGACGGTGGTGCTCCTTTCCGGTCATGGAGGTAGCAGAGCTTGGGTAGGCGCGACTAGGGGGGCGAGGTGGTGGCTTGGGGGACGCACTGGCCTAGGGGAGGTGTGGGCAGGGGCGCGCCTAGGGGCGGCACGGGCAAGGGATGGCGGTACTTGGGCAGGGGTAGCGCGCGCGGTGGCTAGGGGTCGGCGTGGGCAAGGGCCAGCTATGCTAGCGGCAGTTGCACTTGTGTTCAACACGAGAGAGAAATGAGAGAGATACGATCGCGTGAAGGTGTGAGAATGAGAGGATAAGGGAAATGAGTCCATGGGCAAAATGGTTAGAGCAAGTCAAAAGTTGAGGTGAAAAAGTTCAAAAGTTGGCTTAGATTTAAAATAGCAATATAGTGTGAAAGATCCGTTTCATAAAGGTATTCTGACGAAGCCCACAACTTCGCTGGCATTTGAGCGAAACTCATAGGAGTAAAATTCCAATTTTCTCATTTATATACCAAACATGATTTACGATAAAATATCATCTTAATCTTATCAACTTAAAACTGGTTCTCCCAGAATTCAGTATTAAAAGTTTACATAAACTGATCTATAAACTCTCCATTCAAACAAACACCTCGTATGGATCCGGTCCCACATGTCAGTGGCTACGTCACCTCGTGTCGTAGTCGTACATCAAACGATCTTGTTTCGTAGGATTCAAGGGCAGTGGTGTGTGTGAGTGGGAGAGGGATTGCCATGCCAAAGCTAAATGGTGTCTAATATTTCTACTAAATTGCATCGGATCAGATCTTCCTAATTATAAAATTAATTAAACTGAGAAATGATAGGCGGGCATCTATTAACTTTGTAAATGATCAACCCCAATGTTGATATGAAATTGATGATATGGAGATAAAGAAGAAAAAAGAGAGAAATAAGGTTGCACAACATTTTTTTTCTTCTGTTAACTTTGTTTACGTCTACATTGCGTTTAAAACAACAACAACAATAACAAAGCATTTTAATCCCAGGCAAGTTGGGGTAGGCTAGAGTTGAAACTCAACATGAGCCCCTAGTCACGATTCAGGCACGTTAATAGCTGCTTTCCAAGCACTCTATCCAAACAAAGAACTCTAGGGATGCCCCAACCATTCAAATCTCTTTCTTCGGTTTTCCTCTATCTCTCCTCACATTGATATCTTGACTTATGACTCCACAATGCACTGGTGCCTCCGAAGGTCTTCTTTGGACATGGCCAAACCATCTCAACCGATGTTGGGCAAGCTTTTCTTCAATTGGTGCTACCCCTAAACGGTCGCGTATATCATCGTTCCGAACTCGGTCCATCACCGCGTTTAAAAGAAGACAACAATTATGACATCTCCGCTGTTGCTCAATCTTAGATATAAGCCTCAAAGTCCATGCTTAGATAGGTTTAATCTGCAGAGATGTTATGTTATACTAGTGCTTTCGGCACACTCGATGAATCGTTGCCCATCTGCACCTTCCGCTCGTGCTTTGCTCGCCAACGCCGCCGCGGCTCAGCTGTGTTGTTTTGTAAATGGGCCATGGCCCAATAGGAATGAGTGAACGGAGGCCTGGTCCACCTTAGAGCCCACAAAAAAACCCTAATCCCCATGCCATCAGGTATCACCACATATCCAAGCTTGAGTCCCTTGCGCCGCCTGCCGCATTCCCCTGGGACGCCGCCACACCACCACGCACACGGTAGCGAGAGCTTATCGGCGGCGGCGAAGATGGTGTCGCTCAAGCTGCAGAAGCGCCTCGCCGCGAGCGTCCTCAAGTGTGGCAAAGGCAAAGTCTGGCTTGACCCCAATGAAGTCAGCGAGATCTCCATGGCCAACTCCCGTAAGACTTATCCTCTTCCCCACATTGATTAATTGCTCACTGGGTTGGGGTCGTATGGATCTGTGGATGAGGTATTTACCTGCTTCGTTCGGGATAGTTCGATTGGACGGAATATGTTCGACGTTCGCCGTGATTTTTGGAATTCTTGTTTGGGTCTGCCGATTAACTTTATGGGCATGGTCAAAGGTGGATAGTTGATTTTGGTTTGTATGCCCTGGCTGCCGGTGCTTATATTGGATCAATCGCTGCCTTATTCTTTCCACCATCATGTTACGGTGTTGTTTACCTGCGGTCACCCTTAAAGACTATTGTTTTATGTCTAGTTTGTAGGCTGTACCTGTTCTAGCTTGTATGTGTGTACCCGTGCAGTTTCTAATATGTCTATGATACTAGTTAAGCTGATGCAATTATAGTTTGCCTGAAGTAACAAATCCAGTTTGTGATTGTTTCTTTTTATGTATTATATGTATTGTTTATGTGTATGTGATTGTAGATTTTGGCTAGGACTGGTATTACATGTGTATCAAATTATGAATTGTGTGGAAGGAAGCAACACCATTGCATAGCTTGACATAATTGTCACATGCAATCCTCATTTTGGTTATTGGTCACTATTGATTTTACATTGATTATGTTCTGGCCATGTCTGTCTTGCTAAATGTTTGCACTGCTTAGCCAATTCAGATTTTGTCATGTATCTGTAGTTTTATATGTTCCTGTGTAAAGCTAATTTAGATTGGTATTGTTTCTCAAATCTCAACTTATCATGTCGACCATGACTGGGCTCTTCGGGATAATCCTTAGCTCAAGTAGTTTACAATCATGGGATTTTGCTGGGCTTTGCACATGAACTTATGTTTCCCATTTACTTCACACAATGGATTAGAGCATTGAAATTGTAGGCAAGCATGGTTGTTTCTATGCATGTTATTCTGCTAACTTTTTAAAGGAACATAAGCTGACCATGTTTTTGCAATGCTTACAGGCCAGAACATCCGGAAGTTGGTTAAGGATGGGTTTATCATCAAGAAGCCTCAGAAGATCCACTCAAGATCCCGTGCAAGAAGGGCACATGAGGCCAAGCAGAAGGGAAGGCACTCTGGATACGGTATGCTGCTACAACTCATTTATGTTACAGTTTTCAATGATGGGTAAACTTGTGCTAATTCGATGTCTTTATAGGCAAGCGTAGGGGCACCAGGGAGGCTAGGCTCCCCACCAAGATTCTGTGGATGAGGAGGATGCGTGTTCTGAGGCGCCTGCTCCGCAAGTACCGTGAGGCCAAGAAGATCGACAAGCACATGTATCATGACATGTACATGAAGGTCAAGGGTAATATGTTCAAGAACAAGAGGGTGCTTATGGAGAGTATCCACAAGTCCAAGGCTGAGAAGCTCAGAGAGAAGACACTTTCTGATCAGTTTGAGGCCAAGCGTGCAAAGAGCAAGGCTAGCCGCGAGAGGAAGATTGCTAGGAGGGAAGAGAGGTTGGCCCAGGTATGATAATGTTATATTGATCCATACCTGCATTTGTTTCTGAACATGGGTGCAGCTGCTGCTTCTCATAATGTTCTGGAATATCTTTAATGGTTTTTACAGTGTAGTGAAATTTGTCAATTGCTATGGTCTTGATTTGTTGAATAAAAATGGTGGATCAATGTGCTAACATTTTAAATGACATGCTGCTAGGTTGATTTTTAGGTATATTTTGGCTGCATTGTAGTTTATGTTTCCTTAACCTTTTAAAATGGCTACTCCTTCCATTCCAAATTATATGACGTTTTGGCATTTCTAGATACATACATTTTGCGATGCATCTAGATATACACTTATGTCTAGATACATAGTAAAATCAATGCATGTAGAAAAGCCAGAACATTTTATAATTTGGAATGGAGGGAACATGATTGGTACATTTAGGTCTTATGGTTCGTTTAGAATCTATGTTAAAAGGTTTGCTTTTATCGTATAGGGCCCGAGAGAGCCAACAGCACCAGTCTCAGCTACAGCTCCATCTACTGGGTAAGTGCCGTGTAACTTGGTTTTGTTTCCTTGGATTTATCATGTTTCTATTATTGATTGATGTGTTTTCTTCATTCATGCTTTTGTTATTGATTGATGTGTTTTTCTTCATTCGACCCATGTCACAGGGCACCAAAGAAAGCAAAGAAGTGAAGTATTGGAACAAAGCTGTAGCTTTCTAGTGCTATATAAGCATAATTTTGGAGCGCCTGAACTATTTTGCTATTATATGGTTTCCTGTCTCGATATTCTGAGTATCGTATCTCGACTGTTCTGTTGGATAATGCAGTAGAGTTGTTTATGGAGTTTCGTTGGAACAGGACCCCCCCAAAAAATGTTTATTTGACAGATGATTCTGGGAATGTGGTTATGTTTTATGAAAATTAGTCTTATTGTTCTTGTGTGATTGACCAACGGTATCCCATTCTTTGTGGTGAATATCTCTTGATCAAGTCTCGCAAATTAGTAGTTAGTGATCACATGTCATCATCCTGTACACTAAGTATTTGACCGTGAACACCATTTGGCTGTCCAAAAGAGCCTCCATCGCGAATGATCCCCCTCCATTGTCAACGCATAGTGCTGCATCAGGCCGTTCCAGCATCGTGCATTCGTGCACGGTGAACCAGTGGGGTGGTTCGCCCCTCGCCTCGTGCTCAGGTGCTCCGGCGCGCAGGCGAGCTCGGAGGGACGTCAGTGCTCGTTGTTTTTATATAAAAGAAAGGGAGAGCAAAAAAAAAAAGGAAAGGGTTATTTGATCGGTACCATTATAATTCTAAGAACTTTGAGATGTATCATAAAAATTTATTTATTTTAAGATCTACCATTATAATTCATCGTTTCGCTGAGTTTCGCCATTTTCTACGTTTTCCAGCTGCTTGGGCCCACTGGCAGTCGTATGCGCACTGTTGTCTTTGCTGTATGGACGATTTTGCCCCCGTCCGAAGATGAAAGAGCCCCGCGCTGCGCTTGTGGCCCTATCTCTCATCCTTCTCCACTCACTCTCTCTCACTCTCCGCTTGGCGACGCGGGGAACCTAACCCTAGTCCTGGCGGCGGGCGCTGGGAGCCGCCCATGAGCCTAACTCTATTGCCGCATGGCATCCGGAGCCCGGTTGTCCCGGATCCGGAGAATCCTCTGCGGCGACCTCACGATGGTGTTCCATTGGCGCCATGCGACCTGCGGACATGGAGCACGGCGAGGAGGTATGGATCTCCAACCTTCAATCTCTTGAGTCTGAGTAGCGATGCAAGTAGGTCGAGGAATTGAAGGTTGGAGATCCATACCTCTCCTCGCCGTGCTCCATGTCCGCGGGGTCAGCCATTGCGCTCAATGGAACACCATCGTGAGGTCGTTGGAGGGGCTTCAATCGTCCGGGATCCGGGAGGACAGCTCGGGTGCGGGCGGCAGTGGAGTTAGCCGGCGGCGGCAGCTGACTCGGGCGCGGGCGCGGCGGCTAGGGTTAGGGTTCCCCCGCCGTCGCCACGTCGGGAGGACGAGAGAGTGAGAGACAGAGTGAGCGCGAGGAGGAGAAGGGACTGAGAGATGGGGCCACGGGCGCAGCGCAGGAAATCGTCCATACAGCAAAGACAACAGTGCGCATACGACTGCCAGTGGGCCCAAGCAGCTGGAAGACGTAGAAAATGGCGAAACTCAGCGAAACGATGAATTATAATGGTAGATCTCAAAATAGATGAATTTTAATGGTACATCTCAAACTTATCAGAATTGTAATGGTACCGATCCAAATAACCAAAAAAGAAACCAGAATGGTCGAAAAGGCAGCAATTCATATTCATCTACGGAAAAAGGCATGCTTACAATCATCCTACTGAAACAGGACGTATGTTGGGAATTCAAGCTCTTGTTTGATTTCCACATCTGAACTCGCTCCTTTACCTTGTCTAATGTTCGCCACAGATTGCAGATGCACTTAGCCTAGTGTTCTCCACAGATTGCAGAACACTTGTTACCAAGAAAATAACAGGCGAATTGCAGTTTCTCTATACCACGTTGGATGTGATCGAGTCTATGACAGCGTCACAAAGTTGTCTACGATGAGAAGTATACCCATGATTTGCTCTCTTGATGACACACAGTTTGTGGTTTGGTATAAGCCTTGCAAACTCATGTGCATCTTCCACAGGTATGATCTTATCTACTGAACCATGAATAGTGAAGAACCTGGACAAAGAGTAGATGAACAATTTGCATGAGGACAATTTTGTTCTAACACACACTTAGCCAATCATGCAAGAAATGAACTATTTTGGGTTCTGTAAAAGACATGGAAATTACAAGTATAACGTAAATATTATATGCGGCTAGTTTCTCTAATTGTTGATTAGCCGAAAGGGTAAATAACGCTTAGACTAATTTCTTAACCTGCATTCCTTGCTGATGGAAAGGATTGCTGCATATCAGTGTTCAATCGTTCCATCAGGCTCTCTTTTGTTACTCTGTACAAAAAATTTCCTACATTGGAATCAACAAACGTCAGTAGATGCCCACGAAAGAGAAATAAGCTGCATATGTAGATAGCCATGCATATAAAAGTTCATATATGTTTCCTTACCTGATTTGTTCAAGACATAAATGTAGCCTTCTTTGTTTATCCGATCCATAAATTCTTTGCCTAGACGCTCTTCAACGCCTTTCTCCAAGTAAAATCGACCAGAAAGGTTAACAACCACAGGAACATCGCCATAGATAGAGGCATATAGAACCACCACACTTCCACCTGGAGGTAAACAAATACAAATTCAGAGATTTTTCAAAATTAGCTAGATCATTACAAGGATAGCTGGGGTGGCTACAGCTTCATTTTGGATAAATGAGATTAGAGGGACTGAGAGAGGATGAAAACATAGCATCTAACTACATGAGAACCAACTTTTCCTCACAAAAGAAAGACATAAAAGAAGAAAACTAACTTGATATATTCTTACTGAGTGACACTTAACTGGAGCTACATTTTTCATTTTTTTAAACTCAAATAATGCTGCACGTGGTTATACACAAATATACAACAAAGTTTTCAAAGTTTGATTCCCTATGCAAGTTCTTGTCGAACTTATACATTCAATGGAACAACACCTTATTAAAAAAATAATAAATTATAGCAACTTAACAGTAGAAGGACTGCTATAACTCACCTTTGCTGTGGCCAACAATTGCTGTTACATCATACTTCTGGTAAAGATGTGAGACGACAGAATGCAAGTCATCTGCCTCTTTCCTGTAGTTGCCATACTGGAATTCACCTTGGCTTTCTCTGAAAAGCATGATCAGAAGCATGATGTGAATGTAGCTACAAACCAGTTTTTGTTATTCAAAGTAAAAATATACAGTACAGAACAAATACACCAACAAATTCCAATTCAAATAGTTTAGGTGCAAGACAGAAAAAAAGGGGAATCGTTTAACACAGGTTTTGTATGTTTATTTCTCTGGATCTGGAGAAGAAAAGTGGGTCTCCCTGTGCGTAAAAATACAATACAGGTCTATGATACAAGTAAAATCTCAAATTAAGGCAATACTGCAGTATAATATAGTCAGGATGTATCAGGTAGATCCACAATTTCACGAGCAACTTACCCATTTCCACTGAAATCAAAGCGAAACGCACTCATCCCTTTCTTTGTCAATGCAGCTGCAAGATCAATCATGATGCTATCATCCTGAAAACAGAGTGCTACGTTATATTAGATTAGGAACTAGGCTGGATTAAGGATTAGGATTGATAGCTAGGGTTTGGAGAAAATATTAGTTTGAACGGTAGATTCAAGGATTAGAAGTATGTTTATCATGTTTAGTGTAAGGTTTATTTTTGTTCCTATAAGTGTTGGTTATATTACTTTAGTTGTAATTACCATGTTTAGTGTAAGGTTTATTTTTATTTCTATAAGTGTTGGTTATATTACTTTAGTTGTAATGCAAATGGTTCTCCTTTACATTAATTTGCGATGTTTTGATTGATGTTAAATTACAACCGTTTTATTAGATGCAAGACATGTATCGGGAGCAGTTGTGGCGAAAATGAGGTCGTCCTAGAGAATTATACCCCGACGCGTCTAGAAAAGATGCCCCCGTCCCTCCTGACCTCCCTGTCCCTAACTGTGACTATGGTTGTCCGACCGACGTGTTTCAATCGAGACATCCTGACACAGCGGCTCGTTGCTTCTACACATGTAGTCATTTTAATGTAAGTAATTCTTTCCGTATATTTTTTTCTTCATTTGTGTTACTAGGTTACTAATATTTTGTTAGAATCTTATTGTGTAGGCCCATGAGAGGTGCCTTTTCTTTCAGTGGATCGACAGTGCAGACAAATTTGATCAAAGGTACCTCTTTTTCGACGATTATTAGAGAGGGAGACATCCACGTGAGCACTTCGAGCAGTGGGTTCCACCTCCCCCTAACCCTCCGCTAATGACGGCTAAGGAGAAGCACTTAGCCACAGTTAGACGACTCGAGAAACCTCCTCTATGCTATTGCGGAGATCGAGCTGTGATAAATCCTGATAATACATTGGAGTTTGTGTGTCCAAACAAGTATGAAGTAGGTGGACAGTGTATTTGTTGAAATATTAAGCTATAGGTGTTCATGTACTAATGTCACCTCTTTTAGGTGTTTGCATTTGCGAAGTATCATTTCAAGGAGTGGCTCTATGGTCCTAAGAATCAATGTCCGAAGCCGCCAATGGAAAAGGAAATGGAAAAGAAGAAAGAAAGGGTAATTTTCAAAGCACCACCTATCATGTGCGAATGTGGTGTTAAATTCAACTATAGCCTAGTCCTTTCGGAGCTTAGAATAGGCCATTATTGAGGCCATATGGTTGACCATGATGAGGTTGGTTATTGTTGTGGAAAACATAAAATCGTATTTTTTATCTTTAGCTTAGACTTATGATCTAATTTTTTTGTTTCAACGGAGCACTAGGAAATGCAAGTGGAAATCTTATGATGGTCAAGCTAGGTTCTTGGATGAGTTGAAGGGGAGGCAAGTAATTGCATGAAAGAGGGGATATGGACCTGACTACGTCGACCTGTTCGTTAAATAGCGGAAGAAGGACATGCGTGAGTTTGCTAGACAGAGCGATATTCGTAACCCGATCGAGTGTCAGGCTTGACAAATGGGGGTTGGAGAGACGGAGGACGTTAGAGGAGGAGAGGGCAAGGAAGGCTGTAATGGAGGAGGAAAGAGTACAAATGCAGGTCTTGAACGATCATGTTGCTGCATTATGTGCAAGTGAGTCATTGGAAGCCTTGTTATTTTCGTTGTCTGCTTTTATATGTAATATAATCACGTTGCTAACTTGTTGCATTTTATACATGAAGGGATTGGATGCAGCGGGGAGCATGCCGCAGAGGTGGCCCGTGCAAGGTATGTGGAAAAGAAGTTACATGAGCATAGAACACAAGCTGGTCGCAGCGTTTTATCTCCGATTTTGTTGGACAATGAGGGGGATGAGGATGAGGATGACACTGCCAGGTTGAGCGATCTCATCGCTCTAGCGGAGGTGGGCTTGCAGGCGGAGAAGGATGGGGACAACACTGGTAGACTGAGCGAGCTCATCGCTCTAGCAGAGGCGGGCTTGCAGGCGGAGGAGGATGAGGACGCGTTCTTCTCTCAAGCCACAGATGCCGCAGATGAAGCAGAGGTCGCTTACTACAGGCGACAGGCAGATCAAGGCAATGCTGGTGAGCCTAGCCACATGAACAAGGTGGAGGAGAACACGTTTTTGTCTCAGGTCACAGATGAAACGAAGGCCGCTTACTACAGGCGACAGGCAAATTCGGGCAATATGTAGGTGAGCCTAGCCACAGCAACGAGGTTGTGGTAGAGGATTGGTACTCGGACGACGAGTTGCTTATGCAGTATGTTTCTGACTGAGTATTTGTGAGTGCGCCGTGTGGTAGTTCCATGATTCAGATTTGTTAGTTCCATGCTTTATTAATGAAGTATTGATGTACTATACCCATGTATCGAACATTGTTTCCATGTACTCGGAGTACCCATGTTCGATCCTGAACAAGTATCTTCATCCCATCCGTTTGTCACCCTCCGATCCATCCAATTATAACCCAAGTTTTTTTAATAATAGCGTATATGAGTACCTTAGGTGTGGGTTGAAGAGGTTATTTAATTTTTATTTCTATAATGGCACGAAACTTATCTAATCCAATATTGCTTGCAAGACGTGCGAGAAACTCCCTTGGATCGTCACCATATAAGCCATTTGCTGCATGTAGTCTGCCCAGCTTCTGCCCCGCCACCACTAGAGACGCGGCAAGCCTTACGCGCTAGGGGCAATGGCACGGCAGCCTGACGCGCCAGGACAAATGGCATGGCAAGGCCTGGACTCTGTTTGGAGTAGAACAAAGCCGAGCACCAGACTCCACGACGCGTCAATACCACCACTGATGCAGGCTGGATGCACAAGATAACAAATTGCACAAATTGAACAAAGTCGATCAAGTGGACAAAGTTAACAGATTGGTACACAATACTTCATTGGTTTGACATAAGTTCGACACGACTAGTTGCTACATAAGACTTGAAGCAAATTAAGTTCATGACAACATAAGTTCAACACTACATGATTCGTACAACACAAAGCAAATAAGTCGACCAAGCGCACAAGTTGGTACGGAGGTCTTGAACCACAAGTGCAACAAGTACATAATTTGGGTATTACATGAAATCCAACATAAGTGCACAAGTTGATGGACGTCTTCCTGACACGATCCTTGACAATCTTTAGCATTTGAAGGCCTTGTTGAATGTGTACCTACATTATCGTCACAACGGTTAGTAAGGAGGCAATACATCAAGTTTTGCAATTGACAAAACTTGAAAAAACATGGACTATGATTACCTAGACCCTACGTCCTAGGAGTGTAAGGGTCCCTCGGACTCCTCTGTCTCTTCGGATTTGTAAGCAACACATTAGGAGTGTACCCAACATCAGTGCGATCGCGATGGTGGGGCTGACGGCCATATTGTTGCGTACGGCTCGTACCCTACAAGTATAAGATAGGTAAGATTAGTTACAATCTTTATCATTGCTAGTTCATACAGGCACCTAGCTGAGACATGCCGATCTCGTCCTGCTGCCAAGGGTCCCACTGGTGGTGGTGTATGTGGAAGCCCGAGGCCTCCTCCTCGTCCTTGTCGTCCTCATCGTCCTCTTCTGCAGGGCCCTTCCCAGTGCTATGGTGGGGTGGTGTACGCACAGAGGAAGTCACACCTATCATCGGCTCAGAAGAAACAGCTAGTGTCCTCAAAGAAGTCGAGTAGTGGGGTTCCTCCCACGGAGTATCCATGCAGCTCAACTTTTGAGCTAGCTTCCTGCAGTTCTTCTTCACTTTCTGCATCAACATAGGTTAAAGAAAAATTATTCACCAAGCACGTAGAGACTAAATGAACATTTTCATAATGGACAACTTTCTGTGTATGTCCACAAAAGCCTGTAGAATGCCTGGCCCTTGCCCTATAGACTCGTGAAGTCGAAACACTGCTTCATTGGACAACCTTGACAATTGTGTGGCCTGGGTACAGAAATGAGGTTGGACCATTTTACTACACTTAGTAAATGCCAAATGGATAACAATTTGTAGCATTCGAGTATCTTACCATGTATCTCTGTAGCGGGGCTCTCTGTGGTTGTGTGTCCTCCCTAGTGGCAACGTTGTACATATCTTCAATGACATCTTCCTCTGAGTCGTCGTCAATTGCATCCTTAGTGTAGGGGGGCTTGATATGCGTCCTCGTAGACCTATGAAGCCACCGGAGGTACTCGTCGAAGGTATGCTGGCCGTGTGGTGGATCCACATGGACTGGTATCCGCTGCCTGGTCTTCCACAGTTGGATGAACTCATAGTGCTTCACGCACCAATCCTTGTCCTTGTACCTCTTCCTACGATCATACCTACAACAAAATGATGGTTAGTTCTACCACACACATAGCTTGATATTGTAGCTATGTTATGAATCGATAATGCACTCGTGCAATTTTTGGTTGGTGGAGTAAAGCGGTGGTGGGTAGCCTGTAATTCTTCTGAACTGCCTGCAAACCCTGATGGGCAAGTGGATCTCGACCACGTGGAAGAAAATAAGAGGGACGTTGCAGTGATACTCGTCGGACTCTTCTCTAGTGACATGACTCAGGTACTGCTGGAGCTCCGGAGCATCCCAAGGACACCAAGTCACCTGAACATTTCATAATTGAGTTAGCTTCTGACATAGTGCACATCCATAAAGACACACATATGTTACCAAAGAGAGCGTAACCTGGTGCTATGTCAGGACGTCAAGGCAATTCGTGTACTCCCTGTACTTGCGTCATGGATTCCCTCGAACTAACTCTGCTTCCTTCCAGATATACAGAGCAGTAGGTAGTGTATCCTGGCCATTCCAATGCTGCATTGAACACGATAATGAATTAGCCAATCATAAATTCATGATATGTAATAGCTTAGAATTAACTAGTGAACCAGAGTACTTACAGGCAAACCATCAAGAAGGGGCCTCCCAATGGGCCATCTTTCCCAACACCAAACCTGGAGTAGGTAGGAGCAACCACCAAGGCTCGCAAACCCTGAGGTGTGATGGTAGGCAACACATAGCTGTCGATACATCCATGCTAGGACCGCGCTACTCTAGCTGTACGTCGCTATGTTCTCCCACGGCTGGCGTAGTATGTCAAGGAAAATCCAGCTGATGGTGTTGCCCGACGCATCGGGGAATAGGAAAGCACCAAGGAAGTGCTAGATCCACACTCTAGCGAACCTGTCGATCTGAGCCTCATCAGCTTGTGGGTGCAAGTTCTCGAAGCGCTATGTGATCCACGACGATGAAACACTAGAATTTT